AGATGTTGTTTATGTATTGTCATGCTTCTAACGCTGTAATTCACATTTTTTCCCTCATATATTGACAAAAAGACATTTTGACAAAATAGGTAATTTGTATTTTAAATATGTCACATCTCTGTTCATATATCTAATATAGAGATTTTATTCAAGTACTCTTCATTATATATTTGTTCTTCTAAGGCTTATAGGAATAAGTTTTTAATTGTCAAATTGTTAAATTCTTAATCACAACAAGTTATGTTTTAGGAACACTCGATTTCATTACCAACACGCGCCCTGCACGCTTCGCTTAATTAGGTCATTAAGCGGTTAATTATCTTAATATAAATAAAGTCAGGGTTGGAAAAATATACTCAATACTTATATTTCAACTTCTTTCTCATTATGTTAGATGAGTGTTAGAAATTATAATGGCTTCTCATTTGCTAGGATCGATTTTCATTCGAAGGTCTCATCCCCCTCAGGGTACATCGTAATGGTTTTGGTGGATGTGGACGGGACGGAGGAGGATCCCACATCGCTCGCCAGGCAACGTGGGTAGAGCTCCAAACATTTCCCGACGAATAAAAACGAGATGACCTTTTTTGTATCGCAGGGGAAATGTAACCTTAAGCCTTAAACAAGGGCTCTCCGACCTCGCACCCATCCTGAAAAGGATAGACTTAAGCAAGGCCTGCTCACCTGATGAAACTCGCTGCAAGTACCCTACGGGGAAGGACCCGGATCCGGCAAAGAGCCCGACGGGTCCAAGAAATGACCAGCCCTAGCAAATGAGAAGCGTTAACTAATGAGGCTCATGATAACGCTGGTTGGTCTTAATGAGGTATAAAAATATATTGTGCCGAGATTGAATAGACAACACAGATAGTCTGACAGCTTAACGAGTCCCAGACATTATAGTGTTAATAAAGATATTATCATATTATCTTAATAATCCGTGTCAATACAAACTTCATTATCCAAGTTGTGTCGTTAGAAATTCAATGTTCCGTTTTAAACAACATAGCATACATTGCTCAGATTCCAAGATAAGTAGCTATACCCTGAATTATGGAGTATCTGAGACAACGAAGATACCACAACGCCCAGACTCGACATAATACAGAGTTCATTTTCTACATCGACCCGACTGTGAATTGAATTAGGGACTTCAGAAACTACATACCTATACCTATATATCTCTTATTATATTTTCAACATCGAAATTTAGCAAATAAATTCTATTTTTTTTATCCCTAATACGATAACGTGTTTATCTAAATGTTACAACAATATATAATGAAATCTGTTATAGTTATTATAAACGCTCAAGTTTTCACTCAACTCAAACATCACAAACGAGTTTTCGTTTCTGAGTTTAATATTTTAAATGATCATTGATAGCAGTTTGATAAAACTAGGACTTTTTGCTATGTGAAACGTAAAAAAACTTAAATTTAATTGGAAATAATTACTTAGTTCAGATTTAGCACTTTTATCAATACAGAAACCGGTCATTTAACGTCTGAATGTTTGTTAATGATTGTGAGTAACGCCAGCACGGCTCAAATAGTTTAAATGAGAATTGTAACACCGGATTTATCTAGAAATAGCACATAGACGACTTTTTATCGGTTCTCAGGTGGGTGGAACGTCGGTACTTTATTAAATATACTATATTTTTATAACTTATTTTAAAAAAAATATACTTTCTGAAGAAAAGTAAGCAACCCTATATAAGATATAGTTCTCTTATTTTCACTTAACAGCTTATTTGAACTCTTTTTCCTTGTACAAAACCAAATTTTGATTAATGACAGACTTATCTATAGGTATATTATAAAGAGTTTCTAACTTTATTTATTTGTCGAAGTTGAACGTCGGAAATATTGATCCAAATCATGAAGATTATTTTACCTACGGAAAGCTTTACGCGGGCGAAGTCATAGGAACAGCTAGTTAATAATACATCTCGTTATTTTCAAATAAAAAATGAAGAACTCATTATAACATCTCTCGTTTTAATTATTTATCTACAAAAATAAACAAACAAACTTCAGTTGACCACTGATAAATTTTAATACGTCAATAAAATCACGAATACCCCTTGTGTCATAAGTGTAAACAATACCTAACATCACGTAATATTTAACTAATATAATAACCTTCTTATCCTATATTCCGGGGTCATTATTTGGTAGTAATTTTATCATCTTGGCGCCTTTTGAGAACGCGTCCGTTCAGTGTTGTAATATTGTTGCCACGCGTTTTCAACACTATTTTTCTATACTACACAAGGTCCATGCGACTTCATCCGTGAAAACTATATCCTATGTAAACCGCGAATGGGCGATTTCAAACTGCGACGATAATGACCCGACAGGATACTCTTACATCGTCAGCTTGGACGACAGCGATATCGGTATGTGAGACCTTGTGAGACAATATTATCAACAGCTAGCTAATTAGTCAAAAGTAACCGTGTGATTCCAAACGCGTAATAGAATATTCGAGGTAAAAATAACAGCAGCAAACAAGTTGCATTTCAGTCGTACGTTCTAAGTATATTTACGGCAAAGAATTGTGTTGTCATCCGATATCGGCACGACAATCTGTTAGCGACGATAAACGACAAAATGTGAAAGCATCTAGTAGTAATTGTATTAAACTACCAGATTAACGATATTGTGCAGTTGTACTATATTTATCGTCCGATGTGAATACCGTCCGATGTGAAGCCCTATGATGTAGCTTCCCATAGATGAAATAATTTTTAAAATCAATAAAGACGTTTCGGAGCCTATTAAATGTACACAAACAATGAAATCTTACCTCTCTATAACAATTTATATTGTTTAAATGAGACTAATATATACTCGTAAAATCGGCAAACGTGTTTTGCTAAGCGCAAAAGTTTAGGTTTTTTAAGTAGCGTCCGCATTTAGGTTTGCAAGCGTTTGTAGTTGATCCAATCAATGTAGGCTTTTATTAAAAATCAAAGATTTGCCGCAACCGCTTGGTACACGTTCATTTGGAGGTTTTGCATCAAGTGGCAAGCGTGCGGACGTTGCATTAAAAAAAAAACTATTATTTTCCAAACGATCTTTCGAAAAAAAAAAATTAAGTATTACACGAAGAAATTGAATAAAGTTGCTTTTTATAGGTAATTTTTTTCAGTCTTTAGAATATAATACCTTTGTATTTTTATGTCTCCAGATTAGAAACTGAGTTCTGGCCAAATAAGTATCTTTGGACATTGTTGTTAACAATTTATTCCGTTGCTATATTTTCATTCTTAATCGAGTTTAGATTAGGAGCACCGCTAGATATAAGATTTTGACTTTGGATACATTTTCACACAGTATATACTAAACCTACTACTTTGCAAAAACTTTTTTCTAGCTAACTCGAACGAGTAGTTCTTGTAAATTAAAAATATACAGGGTTCATTAGTGGAACTGCAACTCGCTGGAGATAACTAACGTTGTTCGTTCCGTTCTACCAGTTTTGATAATAAGTAATAATATTTTCTCTAATATAAACGAAAATAAAATTTAATTAACTGCGTGTATGTTTATAACGACGTCTAACACCATTATGTAGAATAATGTAAATAATTTACAACCCACGTGTAGCGTTATCCTTCCTTTAATGTATAAAACATATTTCACGTTGCACAAGCGTCCATTAAAATTGTCATAAATTTAAAGCCATGTCGCTTTACAAAATGCAGGACCTTCATTGAGTTTAAAGTCGTCATTAAAACTTAATGAGTGCTTCTGCAACTGGGCGATAGACGTATAAATTTCATGACAGTATAATAAATACTTGAAAAATAATTCCCGTACAGTTACTTTTTTGTATTTTTTTTTATTTGCATTCAGTATGTTGACTTTAAAGCAGATGTGAGCAATTTTATATTGAAGGAGCAGTATTCCACAGAGTATCTCTCTATTCTTTATATTCTATCAAGAATAGAGAGACTCTTTAGGGTAGTTGACGCAGGTCAATTATACTAGATAAAGATGAGTAATTTTGTTCAGAGTATTGAGTGAGTTATGTTAAAACTCGTATATTAGATCAAATTTGTTTTCTAGTCATGTGATATTGCTGGTTAATTAGTAACCCTGTATTCAGTGCATATTTTTACCAGTGATGAGTAAAACTTAATTAGCTAATTTCATGTATTGAGAGTCACGTTTAAAATATTTGTTTTACATAAAAGAATACATATTTTGCTCATAGACATTGACTATTTATTAATTCATGCTTTATAGATAACTTTCATAATCAAAGATTACTTTGTCTCAGAATGATCATTTGTACGGTTATCTGGTTACATTGTATCCATAATGGATTGCAATATAGAATTGCAATTAGGATAACTATTTTACTTTTGGATAAAAACAAAATTACCTTGAATAATTTATTCGCAAGCACTTTAGTTCTCAATCTATCAATTCACACAAGAGCAGTTTGAACAAGCAACTATCATTAAAAATCACAATATTCTGATTACGCTGAACAATAAAAAAGTAATGTATTTCTTCGAATTAACAGTGTAAATAACCATGAGGGGCAGCATATACAGTAGACATTAATCTGGCTTGATTTCATTTGTATTCTGACAATGATTCATAGGTCACTTATAAGTTTTAAATTATTCAATATGTCCTGATACCTGATGGTTTAATGTAAAATATTAATACCAAATACATCAGAATTTGAATTTGTTAATATTTAGTCATAATAAGAACAATAACAATTAAGTATTAAATAAAGTTCTTCCACCAAAGTGTGATATTAAAATTGTGTATGATTTCTGCTGAAAATAGATGAGACAATATTGAAATTAAAATTCAGAAGTTCATTTAAATATGAACCTGCATTCCCTATACCAGTTAATGCTGTTATTTGTTAATTGTTCTTGAGGCTCAAGCCTGTTTAGTATTAGGTAAAAAATTATTGTTTGTCTCATAAATGCAATTACATGACAGATTAAATTATTTTTTTTTCACTCAATTAGACTGCCCCTGTAGCTTTTCCAAAAGCAATTCCAGCCTTCCAGTCATTACTGGTTGACCTTTTCTCGTTTTCTTGCTTAGCTTTTTAAACTTTTCTTGCTTCTTTTTCTTATATTCGAACAATTTCTTCTGTTTCTCCTCCTTAGCCTTCTCAATTTCTTGTTGCTTCTGTAACTTCTCTTGTTTTATCTTATCAAACCGTTCTTTTGCTTTATGATAAGGATCCTTTTTTATCTGTAATGTTTTATTTTCTTTTTCAATTAGTTCAGGATGTCTTACAAATCTGCCAACCTCATTGGAATCAGTTGTGTCTTCATCGAAAGTTTTAGGCTTGTACAACCCAGCTGCAGGATCATTTACTACCTCTTTGTAATAGTTCCGTAGTAATTTCTTTTTACGTTGTTCTTCCCATTGTTCCAATTTATACTTCTTGCTATATTTTTTCAATCGATATGTTTTCTTATCAAATGGCTTCTTATCTGTAGCATCCTGTTTCACTACTTCACGGTTCTTATCAAATTGATGCTGACGTTTCTCATTGAAATTCTTATTTTGATTCATTTCTGGTTTCTTTGACAGGAAAAAAGGATCTTTTTTCTTTTCCATTTCTTATGCACAATTCACCTAAAATGAAATGAAGAAGCGTGTTTGATAACATTATTTAATGAAAAAAAAAAAACTCCTTTCATGCATCAAAAAATATATTTTTCAATCATAAGCATTTATTTTACATAATAAAATATAATAATATGCTATAACTGTGAAACACGCTTGTTCATTTCACTGATTAATAACATAAAATTATCATAATATTTAATATAAAAGTTATTACTATACAATAAGTAACCAATAGCACATTCTCAACAGAACCCTGACAACATATTGTATTAAATTACTGTCATCAAGGATATTAATATTAAGATAGCACTATTTTCCCTGCATTATATAATTTACTCTGTTTTTGATATATTGCAAGTAACATTTATGAAAATCAAAATTTTATTGGTGACATTATTGATAAAAAAATGCTCTGTGTTAAATTATAACTACATATATCATTTGATAGTTGAATTAGAATTTCATTTTATGTTAATGGTGATATATAAATAAATTTATAAGAAGGTTTATGTTAACAGAGTGTTATATTAATTTTTGATGTTTGTTTTAATTAAGACTACACGGATTTTAAATCAAATGACTTTCCAAAATCCTTTATATCATAATTTAGATTAACTTCTAAAACTACAATAGTCAGTCACTGGAATCTTAACCTATATCTTACTAGTAAAATTCAAAATTGGAATAAGTTTAGTAATATTGGCAGGTACCTAATGAGTTCTAAATATAAAATTTCACATTTAGTATTTCCCTATATTGCTACAGTGGCCTTGCAAGCAATTTCTATCTGAAGAAACATTGCTAATATTTCTCAACCATTTTTTTTATCATAAAAATAAATATTCTTCATTATGAAACCTCAAACGAAAAATAGTATTTACAAAACAATTCGTTTGTGTATAAATTGTTACGCAACGATCAATAAAAAAAATCGGTGAAATAGTTAATGTTACCAAAATGATCAATTGAATACATCTTGATATGTCATCACGTGAATTTCTTTCTAGCGTATGGCGTTGTTAACGATGATATGTTTTTTTTTAGTTTTCGATGAGTAATACGTCATAATTTCTAGACATATTGCACTTGTAATGTGATAATAGCGCCGTGTTGAGAAGTAAAATTTTTAGGAGTAATGTGGCGTGAAATCAAACACAAATGTGTGGTGTTATCACAGAACGCTGTTTTAGGACATAATACGTGAATATAACTTTGAATGAATATAAATAATAGTAGCAATTTAAGAACACTAAGTAACTTTAAGACTTACCAAGATAAGCCACCCACTGGGTAGGCTTTGAATTATCGGCGGAATCTTGATAGTTTAGTTGCACTTGGCCTGTAAAAAGTTAACCACGATTGCTGATTTTATTTTACGGTTTTTTGCGTGAAAAACTTTACCGACCATGCCCTAATGTGATTTTAAGAAATAATTTTAAAACAAGGAAACACGATGGACGTTTCCTAAATGTCACAAAAGGAACGAGGGAGGTGGAGGAAACGATGAAATAGCGTGCCAACTACGCCATCTACATCATTCGTGTCATTTGATGTTTTCGGAATTACAAATCGATTAAATGGAACATGCGTAATAGAACCTATACTTTTTAAATTTATTTAAGTAATCAAATCATTATTCTATATATAAAAATACCTATTATTTACTAATTAGATGCCAATGAATTATGATATGATTAAAACATTTGTACATAAGTTACAATGACGTAAAATGGAACGCATGCACAATTTCGGCTATCTATATCGAAATGGGTAGTTCAGTACCCGCCAACTTTAAAAAGTTTATTAATTCTATAACTCCATTCATTATAGCATTAGACAGAAGTTAAATAAGGTTCTTTTTATGGTATACTTTGTGACAAAATATCAATAATCATGTTACTTTTAAGACTGACGGCTAATTTGCTACATATCCACTTAAATACCAGCTGCTATACTTAACTGTTGTCATTTAAGCTATACATTAAACAAATTTATGAGTATATGACTAACTTAAATGATTTAATAACTATTACAATAAAAAGTTTTCATCGTAAAGAACCTAAAGAAGCAGGGTTGGAAAGTTTCGGGACGATTTTCATGTCACTATAACTCTACCAAATTTAAAACGTTGCCTAACCCCTTCAAACGTTTCGGCAGTAAAGCTTTTTAATTTTATCAGACTATTATTTATTCATAATTGTTAAAATCGTAATCTGGGATTGTCATCCATTGTGACTGCATTTCTTTTTTGTTTTGCCGTTTTCCGTGATTAAGTTGTTATTGTTTTATTTTTGTTGTTAAGTTTTGGTAATGGTGCTACCGGTGCAGGCCTGAAATATGGACGACGCCGGTGCAGGCCCGAGTGGCCTACAAAAATTACGCTCTAAGCCCCCGTACCTCTACCCTCAACCTTTCCCTACCCTCTACCCTCAACCTTTGACATTTCAGGGAGTTTTTCCAATGTCTTCATCAATAGTCTAACTAATTACACTTACAATTAGAATTTATCAAAACAACAGACATATAGTTTCAGTTTTAGTTCCATGTTGGCTTGGGAGTAAAAGATGAATTCTTCTCAACCCCGAGGTATCGTCAAAAATAGAATTTTGGCCAGCTCTTTCAGACTACCTAACGTTCAAAGTTTCAAAACAAATATATATTTTTTAAATTTATCGTGAAAATAAAATGTTCTGCACTGCTGCTTCTATGACCCTCTTTTTTCTAATGTCATAATGAATGGAGTATAGTACTTTAAATAAAATTTAAATATCTATCATTCTAAAGAATTAGATACTCACAGATACTTTAATTGCTGTAGTGCGTGTTATACATATTGGTACATATATTAGGAGTAGAAGTAGAAATTGCCGTTTTATTATAATTGGTTCCATGAATTGATATAGAATCTTCATTGTTTGAGGTTGTCGAAAGAAACTTTTTTCAAATTGTTTCTATGATGTTCTTCTTTTAAAAAATGAGAAACATTTGAATATGGATTTTGAATTGTTTTTGTTATTCAACTTAGACAAGAAAGATGGATACACCGAAAATTCGTGATTTTTGAATAAGAGTTCCGACGCGGAAGTATCACGACAGAAACAGCCCGCAATATCAATGTTGAGATGGAAACTTCGATGAAGAACGAGCCACGAGAAAGACTGCCGACACAGGAGAATAACGATGAATTAGCTGACAAGAAGAACAAGCGAAATAAACTTACCAGCTTTTTATCATAAGTAATGACATTTACATAAATTACGTCATTACCAAAATAATATATATTATCACAATAATAAATACAACTTTCAAAGTCTGTAGGTCGTAGGTTTAACATATAATAGTCGTTATAGAAGAAAGCGAAGGTTATTAATTCCATGCATTGCGATCCTTTAATTAATCATCAACTTTATAATAGCCTTTACTCATAAGTAAGTTCTTAACATGAATTTCAAATTTATTTATGGGTAGGTCAATTACATTTTGTGGAACTTTATTGAACATAGCAATGCATTTACGCAGAAATGATCCTCTGATTTTCTGAACTCTGAAGCTTGGAACTGCAAATTTATTTTTATTTCTTATGTTAAAATTATGAACACTTCTTTTTTTGTGAAGGAATGGTAAGTTAACGTCTGCTCAATTATTAAAACATTTAATTCTATTAATGTCAAAAAAACCGAAGCTCTTTGGGGCGTTTCAACTTATGTTATCAAATCTATAATACCATCTATAGCGTCTCAATTAACTTTTATTTTTAGTAAGTGAAATGAAGGAACTTTTCCTGATTTTATGAAATATGTTATAATTATATGCAATCGGGTCTTGTTCGTGCATTTTTTAAAACAATTAATTTACCTCGACGTTTCGGCTACGTTACAGCAGCCGTGGTCACGAGGAGACTGGAGAACTGGCGGGTGTCGTCTTCTGATTTTAGTTGAGGGTAATCCGTTAATAATGTTTTTAACTGATTTTCAGATGTACCCTCCACTTGATTTTATTATACGTAAAGGTGGCGACACACTGCACTTACGGTATCCGAGAATATTGTTCGTGGTTGTTTGCGATCGCGACACTTATACATTTTTATAACCGGATTCCACGTTGGTGAGAGTTTATATCCACTTTCCCGGTTGAAATTGTTGTGTTTTTTGATTTCAACCGCTTCACGAACAATCCTTGGATAGTAATGTCGTTCAGTGGAAAGGACATGAGGTGTATGTAACTCGATCCAGTGGTTTGATCCAGATGATAATAAGTGCTCTGCAATCGCGGACTTCTCCACTTGAACTTGATTTTTGACCGCTGCTATGTGTTCTTACACGTTCGGCGATAGTCCGCTTCGTTTGTCCGATATATGAACTACCGCAGCTGCAGTCAATTTTATAAACGCCAGGTTTTTGGTAAGGAATACTATCCTTTGGTGATCGCAATTGGTGTGACATTTTTGATAAAGGAGTAAAAATGGTGTCTATAGAAAAATTTTTCCTCAAAATGGAACCAATTTTGTCCGTTACCCCCTTAACATAGCCTAAAAATGCCCGTTGCCTGGGAACCTTAGGTAGTCTTTCCTTACACCTTCGGATAGAGTATGACCTCCTTGCGCTGTAACCATTTTTCCTTAGCACGTCCTGTACATGGGACAACTCATCTGCTAAGAAGTCAGTATTACATAATGCGTTAGCCCTGTTAATAAGAGTTGTCTCCACAGAACGTAGGTGTTGAGGATGATGATGAGATGAAGCGTGGAGGTACTTGTCTGTGTGTGTTGGTTTCCTGTAGACAGTGTGTTTCAGGGACACATCAGCTTGCGCCATGACTTTAACGTCCAGAAAGGGTAAGGTTTTGTCACTCTCTAACTCATAGGTGAACTTGAGATTCGGATGGATATTATTGACGTGTGTAAGGAACTGCTCAATCTCCGGTTTGTCGCCCTTCAGGATACAGAACACATCGTCTACATACCGTTTCCACATACGGATCCCATGTGA